TACATATATACATATATACATATATACATATATACATATATACACACGTATATATGTATATATGTATATATGTATATATACATATATACATATATACGTATATACATATATACATATATACATATATGTGTGTGTGTATATATATATATATATATGTGTGTGTGTATATATATATATATATATATATATATATATATATATCACAGCTCTTTTTGTGGTGGCAAAAAATTGGAAATTGAGGGGATGCCCATCAATTGGGGAATGGCTAAACTAGTTGTGGTATATGAATGCAACAGAATACTATTGTGTAATAAGAAATGATGAGCAGGCAGATTTCAGAAAGACCTGAAAAGACTTGTATGAACTGATGTAAAATGAAATGTGCAGAACCAGGAAAATATTGTACACAGAAACAACATTGTGTGATGATCAACTATGAATGACTTAGCTCTTCTCAGGAATACAATGATCCAAGACAGTTCCAAGAGACTTATGATGGAAAATGCTGTCTATATCCAGAGAAAACTATGGAGTCTGAATTCAAATGGAAGCATGGTATTTTCCCTTTTTTTGTTTTTTTTCTTTGGTTCTGAATCTTCTTTCACTACATGATTAATGTGGAAATATGTTTAACATGATTGTACATGTATAATCTATATGAGATTGTTTGCTGTCTTGGGGAGGGGGAGGATAGGGAGGGAAAACAATTTGTAACTCAAAATCTTACAAAAATGAATGTTGAAAACTATCTTTACATGTAATTGGAAAAAAATACTCTTAAGAGAAAAATAAAACAATGTCGTAAAAATCTTTTAAAACTGCTAAAAAAAAAGAAAAGAGGAAAATAATACTGACTTACAGTACCTCTTGAAATGGTTTTGAGACTGTACAGGGGTCCCTAGACCACAATTGGAGATCTCTAACTTAATAAATAAGTAGGTGGTCCAGTAGATAGAACTGAACTTGGAGTCAGTAAGACCTGAATTCAAATCCTATCTTAAGATTCTATCTGTGTAATCCTAAGCAAGTCACTTTTCATCTTACAGATTTCAAATTTGCAAAATAAAGTTCTTAAACTCCATGGATCCATGGTCCTTTCCATCTCTAAATGTAGCATTCTGTGAACCTTTTCCACTTGTCATAAAAATTGAATTCAACAACCATTTTTTTAAGTGTGTGATATATACAGGAAACTGCCAGAAACTGGGAAATTCAAAGACAAAATGAGAAGCATTCTCTGCACTTGAGGTTATGATTCTACTGCCTGCAATTGTTATTTATTCTGCCCTATCTCTCCAATTCTCTTATAAGACAGGATGGAGACCTATGTTCTGTAACTATATATTTCCTACAATGCCTAGCAAAATAGTTGGATATAGTACTCCACCCCCTACACATGCACACAAAAAAACCCCCAATAACAACAACCATATCTATTAGTATCATTTATGTTGATGATAAATGGGGATAATATTAATCAACTTACCCAGTTGTGACATAAAGAGTTTCCTAATAAAACTTAAAGATGTACAGCTAGTGGATGGTGTGCAGCCTAGTGTAGTGGAAGGAACACTGGATTTAGCATCATAAGATCTGGATTCATATAAAAACTCAGCCATTTACTTCATGCATAACCTTGGGCAAATCACTTCCTTCTACATCCACAGTCAAACTAGCCTTTGTGCCATTCCCTATAATAGATATTTCGTCCCTCACCTCTGTACTTTTGATTAAGCTATACCTCACATGTAGAATGATCTTCCCATTTCACTTTTGTCTATTAAAAGTCCTAATTCCGTTCAAGACTTGGTTCAAGTGCCACCACTGTAAGTGGTCTTTCCTGATCTTCCCAGTTGTTAGAGCTCCCCGCTTTATACTTTTTGAGTATATGTTCTATATTTATTTGTGAATAAAGCATGGTATATGAATATAATGTGTTATAGTATGCTGTAAGAAATGATAAAAGGTACATCAGACATTTACTAGCTATGTGACCCTAGGCAAATCATTAACTTCTGTCTGTCTCATTTTCCTCACCCTGTAAAATAGGGATAGTAATAGTAATAATAGCTACATCCCAGAGTTGTTATGAAGATGGGAATATCTGTGAAGCATTTACAAACCTTCTAGTGTTATAATTATATTAAGATGTTTTAATTTCCAGCATGATAAATGTCAATAGCTGTAACCCGCATAAACAAAAACTCCTTGGGGAATCCTCAATATTTTTTAAGAGTATAAGGAAATCCTGAGACTAAAAAGTTCAAGAATCACTGTCTAAAGACACTGTTGTAAAAACATACAATTTTGAAATAAAGAATTCAGAAGAATTCAATGACCAAACATAAATTCAGAAGACCAATGAGAAAAATGCTGCGCATCTCTTAAGAGGTGATGAACTAAATATGCAGATTGATACATTTTTTGACCCTAGCCAAATATGGCAATATGTTTTGGACAAATGGGAATATGCTTGCTTGATTGCTTGACTATGCTTCTGTTACAAGTTTTCTTTTGGTTCTTTTTTCCTTCAGTTCAAGGGTGGAGGTGGGAGAAAAAATAAATGCTTGTTGAATAACAAAAATAAAATATTAATAAAACATGTTAGATCTTCCTGATGGAATGTAAGCTCCCTGACAGCAGAGACAAATTTAGTTTTGCATTCTTATTCATAGTGCCCAGAAGAAAACAGTAGGTACTTAATAAATGATTGTCTATTGATTTCTCTAAGGACTCTGTTTCCTCACCTGTAAAATGGAATTTTGTATTGAAAGTTGGCCTAAATATTATATAGCTCAACTCCATTTTACAGGTGAGGAAACTGAAGCCTGAAAATGTTAAGGCAAATTCTAGACAGCACAAATAGTAAACAACACAGTCAGGATTCAATTCCCAGGCCACTTCACAACAGAGTAGATGGTATTTCTACTGCATCAAGCTCCCTACCAGCTCTAGATTCTATCCAACAAGAATTTATTAAGCACCTTAATATGTGTAAGGTATTGGAAATATAAAGTCAAAAACAGAAAAAAAGGTTCCTGCCCTCAAATATTTTATATTTAATATGGAGATATTAAATAATATCTCCATCCCATGAATTTATAATGTTCTCCAGTGGCTCAAGCAGTTTTTCAGCTATGGCAGTGATTTTTTATGCATTCCTAATCATTGGACTGTATGCATTCCAGTCAACCCCCATATATAAAGTCAATACTGGTGGACACCCTTTTTGGACACCATAATCCATCATCCCCATCATTCCTGCTCTCCAATGATCTTTTATTCAATCCTTTTCCTCCTCTTCTCCTCCTCCTCCTCCTCCTCCTCCTCCTCCTCCTCCTCCTCCTCCTCTTCTTCTTCTTCTTCTTCTTCTTCTTCTTCTTCTTCTTCTTCTTCTTCTTCTTCTTCTTCTTCTTCTTCCTTCTCTTCCTCCTCCTTCTCTTCTCTCTCTTTCTTATCTCTTTCCTCTCCTTGTCTTCTCTCCATCTTTATGTTTTCCTCTCCCTCTCTTCTCGTGTCTTTCTTGGGTCTCTACCTCCTTCTTTAATTGTCGTTCTCTTATTTCGTCTCAGTATCTCCCTCTCCTTATACTTCTTCTCCTTCCTCCATTTCTCCCTCACTATTTCCAACCTTTGGTCCTCTCCACACCCTCCCGGTGGCTTTGCAGGGGGATGCAGCGCGCAGCCGCAGACGTGCTCTCTCCCGATTCAAGATCTCCGCTAGCTCTTCTCTTCTCTCTGGAGGCCAGCTGGACGGCCAGGGGCCGGTTCTAATGAGACCGGGCGCCTCGCCGTGCCCGCCGGGACCTTCTCCTGGAAGCCTCTTGCTGTTCTGGGACTGACCGAGACGTCTGGGCTGGGCACCAAGGGGTTGTGGTGGGGAGTATGGGAGAGTCAGGCCGGGCCACAGTTGCGGAAGAGTTTAGTTTGCTACGGCCAAGCACAGGAGGGGGTAAAAGAAGTGGAGCAGGAATTGCCAGATGGAGACTAACTGGAAGGGCTGAAGGGCAGAGGCAAAAGCAAGGGGGAAGCCACCAGAATTTTAGAGATTCCTTTACCTAAGTGTACCCAATAGCAGCATCCCTGTCAGAATACATCCCACTGCCTTACCCTTTTTGGACAGGGATGGTGCGTTCTGGACCCTGTGGGTCTTGGATGCTGAAAATACAGGGCGGACCTTGCTATCCCCTCAGAGGGTGTGTGTGTGTGTGTGTGTGTGTGTGTGTGTGTGTGTGTGTGTGTGTGTTGGACGCGGGGGGTGAGTGCGGGGAAGACGAGGTGGCGGGTTCCTTTTCTGTTTGATTTCCTAGCCCACTATCGGCCGCTGCAGTAGGTGAGCTAGGTGGGATCAGGGTGGGAACTCGGACAGTGTGAAACCTGCCCTGTCACCGTGCTTTCCCTGGTTCTCTCCTGGCCCTAACCCTCAGCGAACCGGGAACTTTTACTTCCGAAGCAAAGGGATAGGGTGGGGTGGGAAGGGGAAAAGAGGGGGAGGAGGAAGGAAAATACATGGATGAAAAGAGATGAAATTCCCCAAGGACCCTTCCCCAATTTATATGCTCAAGGAAAGGGAAAGCCTAGAACACTGCGCCCCCTAGCCCCCTCCCCCAGCCCAGCAGCAAGTGAAGCACCTCCTTTACTCCCCAGGATGAAGAATTCCAGGTGCAAATACAGCAGAGGTGGTGAAAAAGCCTGGGGTGGGGGTGGGGGCGAGTGGAACATCCAATGCAAATCAACCAAGAATGAATGATTTAGTCTCGGGGAAGGGAGGGGAGGGGAGGGCGGGGAGGAGGAGGGCCAAGCAGAAGGGGTGGGGGCCTCGCTATTTGCTGGAGCTGTACAATGGGCCACTCCCTAACCCGGGGGGGGGGAAGGAGGCGCGCGCTCCTCTGTCAGTCTGGAGGCAGGACCAGCGGGGGGGGAGGGGGAGGGGGGTTGGGGGGCAAGTGGGAGAGAGGAGGAGGTGGTGGAAGAGCAGGAGGAGGAGGAGGAAGGGAAGGAGGAGGCGGTGAAAGAGGAGTGGGGGAGCCCTCTGGCATCAGGCTTGTAAATAAACTCTGCGATGGTTTCTTTCCCTTATTGGACTAGGTGCTGTGACCGCTACCACCATCTCCGCTGCCACCGCGGTACTGGGCTCTCAGGCTCGTTCCTCTTCAGCATCTTTTGGCTTTAGCGCTTCATCCACATCCTCCTTCCTTAGGCTCAGCAGCCTTTCTTCCACTACCTATCCCTCCACCGTCCCCATACCATGCTGGTGACCTGACAAGAATGTGACCCCCCTCGCCTTTCCCTGACCCTCCTCCCCCCCAAACCACCTTTTCCTTCTTTTTGGGGGGTGGGCTGGGGAGGGGAGCTCGGATCATGGCATTGGAGTTCCCGGGGCTGCTGCTGCCGCTGCTGCCTAGTACTACCCCGAGCTCACCTCCAAGGACCAGCAGTAGCGGAGAAGGCGAAGAAGGCGAAGGCGGGGAGGGAGATGGGGCTCAAGTCGCGAAAGGCGGCGGCGGCGGCGGCGGCGGCGGGGGCGGTTGGCGGCGGCGGCGGTGGCAGCAGCGGCGGCGGGGGCGGCAGCAGCCCAGGCGGCAGCGGGGGCGGTAACTCTGGCGGGAGGGATGCGGAGGACAAGCGAACGGGGCTGGGGACGGCCGGGGACGTGGAGCAGGGCACCTTGGCCCTAGGAGCCGGAGCTGACAAAGACGGGACCTTGCTGCTAGAAGGGGCGGGCAAGGAGGAGGGCAGCAAGAGGACCCCGCAAGGGATTGGTCTCCTGGCCAAGACCCCTCTGAGCAGGCCGGTCAAGAGGAACAACGCCAAGTACCGGAGGATCCAAACTTTGATCTATGACGCCCTGGAGAGACCGCGGGGCTGGGCGCTGCTGTATCACGCCTTAGTGTGAGTACCTGCTGGAGCCACTGGCTTTGGGATCTCTCTCCTGAGAGGGCGTGTGTGAGAGCGCGCCTGGGGCTTGCATGCTTCTCCCCGGGCTCCTAGGGTTGCTGACCCAACTCCTTTGCTTGTTAAACTGACTGCGGCGTATGTTTTTGGTGCCCCCGTTTGGCTTTCTCCCGTTGGGGAGGACGAGAGAGTGAGTGCGTGAAGGATATGTGGCTATCGGTCTGTGGTGGCTTAGTTAGGTAGTGGTCCTGGAGTTGAAAGGAGCCCCAGCTTCCCAGCTAATTTGGAGAGTGAACTAGCCTGAGCGTGTGCGCGAGCGGAGTCTTCTCTTCTGGGTTAGACGGCAATTGTGTGTGTGTGTGAGATCTTGTTTTTGTGTGTCTGTCTTACGTTAGCTGGGTATTGCTACTGAAGTTTTAAGAGACCTGACTTGTCATACATAATTGGGGCATCGAATTGGCAAATGTAGGGTGTTTGGGGCCAGATATTTATTCTCTCCACTTCCAATATCCGCCCTCCTTCCTATGCCTTGAATGAAGCATTCTGTTCCGAATATTGTGATTGGGGAGGGTCAATGGAATCAACTTTGACCTCAGCCCTGTTCAGGTTCAAAGATAATTACTCTTACCAATGCAGGGGGTAATAGGCAGGAGAGAAGATGGTCGCTCCTCCCGACAGAATTGAAGAGGCGAGGAGTGGGTGGGACCTACTTTATTTGGGAGGGGTGGGGATGGAAAATGATGATGGACAGATGGCGTCCCAGAATAATCTGTCAGAAAGGTTGGGTAGCCAACCTCCCTGGACATTTACAGGGAGGGTTACTGATACTATCCACAGAGAATACTGGGGATGAAAGGAGCCCTGTCATATAGTCATCCCCACGCCCACCGCTACTACCTCTGGGTCGGGTCACAGGTAAATCACCGAGGGCTGATGTGGATTTTGCTGAAGCCAGTCCCTAGTGATGTGGTTCTGAGGTATCCCAATAGCTTGATTTCATTCTTCTCAATAGCCTGTGCAAGTCCCTGCCCCACCCTACCTCAACCCCTTTCTGTGAAAATGGACATTGCAGTCAGAGAGACCCGGTGAGCCTTGGGGCTGGGCACAGGCAAGCCTTTCCTTGCCCAGGGGAAATGCTTTTCCAGATATAGCCAGGAGGTGGGGTCGTCTGTACAGTATAGTAGCGCATGAGCAACAGTAACAGCAGCAGCTGCGGGCCAGGTTCCCTGGAAATAGTTTTAGGAACAGTGAGACCTTTCAGTTACTTCCACATTAGGAGTAAAACTGCAGTAGTGGTGGAGGCAGGCAGTATCCAGTCAATCAGTCAATAAACATTTATTAAGCGCCTCCTGTGTGTCAGGCACTGTGATAAGTACTGGAGACATAAAAAAAGGCAAAACCGGTCCCTGCCCTCAAGGAGCTCTCAGATTAATGGAGAGACAACGTGCCAAAAATTGTAGATACAAGATAGATGAAGTGTACATAGAAGACAATCTCAGAGGGAAGGTAGGGTGGGGGAAGGGAGGTGGAATGGGAAAGGCCTTTCGCAGAAGCTAGGATTCAAGGAGTCTTGAAGGTGGCCAGGAAGTCAGAAGGCAAAGGTGAAGAAGGAGAGCACTCCAGGCATGAGAGATGACCATTGGAAAGGCACTGAGTTCCAGTTTGGACGTGAATACATACATACATACATACATACATACATACATACATACATACACACATATCTATGTATGTATGTATATTCTCTGAGTATGCGATGGAGTAGGGTGGGGGAGAGGAGAAGGAGAAGGGCTAGCTAACTAAGAAAAGAATAATTCACAAATATGTTTATATGGATATTTAGCTTTTAGTTCTGTGTCAGAAACCAGCTTTTTGTAAATGCTAGAATGCATAGTGGTAGACAAGTCTCCCTTTCCTTCACTCCTACACCTTCAGTAAAAACAAATAAATAAATGAATAAATAAATAAATAAATAGATAAATAAATAAATGAATGAAAAATTGTTTATTCAGTGAAGCCAAGAAAACTTTATTAAACATAAACTGTGCCAAGGTACTCTACTAGATCCTAGGAGATTGTGTGTGTGTGTGTGTGTGTGTGTGTGTGTGTGTGTGTGTGTGTATTTAGCTAAGACTTGGCTTTGTCCTCAAGGAACTTAAATTCCAGTGAAGAAATAAATTAACAAAGATAACTTTAATACTTAATATTACATAATAAATGAATTTAAGATGTTGAAAACAAAGTTCTGTGTGATGTGGGAAAAGGGAAGTTTTTACTGGTGAGGGGGATCATGAAATGCCTTTTTTTCCTCTCTCCCCTCATTAATAATGGCTAACATCTTTAATCTATATTTATTTTAAGTACTGACTTATTTGTGTACAGTTGTCCCCTCTGTAGAATTTTAATTCCTTGGAGGCTCTTTCCTCTTTTATTTTTTGTCCTTAACGTCTATTACTCTCCTTTGCATATATAATTGAGTAGATTTAAGGCTGTAGCTTTGAGTTGGGTTTCAAAGAATGAGAGAAATGCAACAGGTAAAGCAAGGGAAAAACAAGCATTTTGGGGATAGAGAACAGCTTGGAGGTGTGAGGAGGGGGGAAAGTCCTGGGCTGTATGTTTAAAAAACAAAACATCTCTCTACACAGAGAAGGCACCCAATATTACTATCTGGGGTTCTACAGGTAGAGTACTAGGTCAGAAACTACACAGGTATGATGGATAGTTAGGGCCTGTGGGGTCTTTCCTTTCCATCTCCTCTTCATTCTTAGAAAGCACAGCCCACCTGAGGGGGATGAATTTCTAGGAGACCTGTTCATAGAAAAAGACCTCTTTTAGAACTATTCTTCCAAATAGAAAGCCAGAGTGAAAGATGCCAAGAATGTTCTTGAACATTCTCTAGGGTCCTGGTTTTCAAGACCAGTATAAATTACAGTTTCAAACCTCAGAAGAAAGAATATGAAGTTGGAAAAAATATCAATGAGCCCAGATTCTAATTCTGGACCTCTGTGCCAGTAACAAAAAATTGGGTAAATCCCTTAGATTCTCTGAGCAGTCTTTTCTCACATGAGAAAATTGGAGTATTAATCATATTAATTAGCTTCCTGCCCTAACTCCCAGAGAAGTGACAATAAAGCAAAGAGTGATCTAGAGGTGGCTTTAGCTGGGGGAGGGAATAGCTGCAGAATTTGGATGGTGGGAAAGAGTCAGGTGAACTGAATTTTCTTTCTAAAAATGTTTTATTTATTTTGTTAAATATTTCCCAATTACATGCACAATTTAAAAAACTAATTTAAAAGTTTGAATTTCAAATTCTCTATCTCCCTCTTGTCCCTCCGCCACCCTTTGAGAATGCAAGTAATATAATACCAATTCTATATGTGAAGTCATGCAGAACATATTTCCATATTAGCCATGTTGCAAAAGAAAACACACACACATACACAAAACCCCAATAAAAATGAAGTAAAAAATGTGCTTTAATTTGTATTCAGAGTGTGTCATGAACGGAATTTTTCTAATTCAATGAAATATGCAGAAACCTTTTCTTTTTTAAAATTCAACCTTTGTGGAAAATCTAAAAAGTCAGTATTTTTGTCTTACAAACACAGTCTAATGAACAAAATAGAAACTCTCCTTGAAGGTTGAGGAGCCCAGTAGGCTAGCAGGGGTGCTCCAGGCCACATGGGGCCCTCTAGGTCCTCAGGTATGTCCCTTTAACTGAATCCAAGACCTCAGGTTCCCCACCTCTGAAAGTCTTCATTTTAATCCTTAATGCTCTAACAATGGGACTGATAAATGGTTAGTGGAAAGAGCAGCTAAACTAGGTTTGCATTCTAACTCTACTACTTATTAGCTGCATGACCTTAGGTAAGTCCGTATCTTTGTACAGGTTTGTCTGAAATGCACTCCTTGCTTACTTCAGACTCTTAAAATCCCTACTTTATTTCAGAATTAAGCTCAGATGCTATTTTCTGCAAGAGTCCTTTCCTTAACCCCTCAGCTGCTAGTGCCACTCCTCCAACCCCCTGCAAATTACTTCATGTTAGTTTTGTCCTATTTTGTATCAGTTGTTTCTCTTGAGAGGTTCCTTAGGGCAGGGACTGTTTGTCTTTGTATCCCCACCATCTACCATAAAGCCTGGCACAGTATATGCTTAATAAATTCTTGATTGATTGAAGTTTGCTTAACTCTTCTGAGCCTCAATTTCTTTTTTTGTGAAGTGTGAAAAATAAGTTATATATTTCAAGGTATGTCAGTGGACAAAGGGAATTTTTTAACCCTTAAGTCAATCAATCAACAAATACTTCTTAAGCATTTACTATGTTCTAGAACCTGGAAACTTTCTTATACAGAACTCTACATAGGAATATAGATTTCAAACTGGATGGGACCTTCCTGGTCATCTACTGCAACCTCTCGTTTTATAGATGATAATCATTAGGGCCAGAGTTGGTAAATCTCTTGTCTAAGGTTACAATGGAAGTAGGGTAGCAGAGGTTACCTACTTGAGCCCAGGTTCTCTGTCTTCAAATATAATAGCCTTTCTATTGCATCATGAAGAGATGGAAGTGATGGGAGAGACTGGACTGGATGTTCCAGAATATACCCTGCAAATGATTCTTTATTTCTTTTTTCTACATTCCCCAGATGAGCCTGTTTCTTATTGTTTGCCTTTCCTTAAAAGGGGAGGGGGGGAGAAAAAAGGAAAAATTAAAATTTATATGATAACTTTTTTGTATATTTGGAGGGAATAGCAGGTTGTGCATGGGAGATTTGCAGTTTCATGTGCAATCATCTTTTTTATTGTACTTTGTTATGGAAATGCTTGTTTCTTTCTGTGAACTGAAAATAAAATAAATTTAAAAAAAGTATGATGAGGGCAATAAGAGACAATTCAAAGTATCCTAGATATTTGAGAATTTCAATTAATAATAAGGATAGCAATGATTGTTGACATGTATAAAGTACTTCATATATATTACCTCACTTGTTTCTTA